CAGGCTCTGGACGTGAAAAGCAGCCGAGGAGTTGTCCCGCAGAGCATTTCCTGCTCACAGCGGGCAGGAGATTCGGTTCTTCCCGCGGGTACGGCGCTGGTTTCAGTTTCGGTATTTGAAATGCCGACACCTGAGCCTTAGGACCGGTCGGCGCCCGGTTCTGACGGTAAATGACCGAAGGCTGCACTGCCCGAGACAGGACACAGGGCCTCTCCCAGCACAGGCGTGAAGCTGCCAGGTGCTGGGCTGGTGGGACCGGTCGGTGGCCTCTGGGAATGGAGATGCACTCGTTCCCAGCGAGTCAATCTGTGCTCACCTGACAGTTCACCAGTACACTCACTGCACATTAAAAAACAATGTAATTAAACTTATCTTGAAAAAGGTAATTGTTTTGAGGTTAACACGTAGGCTGTGACAAGAAGAAGTAATTTCTTCCAGTAGCTTCAGGGCTAAAAATTCTTCTATTGTCATCTACCTCCCAGCCTAGAGGTGATTTACAACTGATTTAAAAGTGCTTCTGCTTTTCTGCTCTCTTCCTGCAGAGAAGAAAGTTTACTTCTGTGGAGAATGTTGAAAGACTTACGACACCCTGAGAGACACAGAGTGCAGTAAGGTCTACCAGTAGGCTCCAACACCTTACCATCCCCACAGAGCAAAGCTCACCTGCCCTACCTTCATTCCAGCTTATCTGGGGCCCAGTGAGCTGCCCACTGCCATATCCATAGGCAGTTTCAGTAGTCCCAGCATGCAAAATAACTTGGGGTGAAGCAGCTGGTGAGCATAGCTAACAGCATGGCACTAGTACACAGTCAGCATCACTTTCCCATCACCTTCAAAGAGCACCTTCCAGTTGGGCTCTTTCTAGAAGAGGTAAAATGCAGCTCCAAATTAATATGTTCTGACTGGAATGGATTTCATTTCCTTGTCTGGTTCTGAAAGATCTACTAAAGCCTTCTAGCAACTTCAGCAGCATTCAGCCTTTGTTGTAGAGTTAAAAGTCTATTTTTCTTCCCTTAAAAAAAATTAAGCCACTTTTTACCAAATCTTGTTGACAAGAGGACTAATGGCATTTTGGATTTATATTGGTCCACATTAAAAAAAAAAAGTTTTGCTCACTACAGGGGCAAAGCAAAGTGACCTCACTGCTCGTTGGATTTGTTTGAATTTTTAGTTTTGACAGCACTTTCCATAATGGATAAAGTCTCTGGTGTAAATTATTTACCTATGTTGTTCTTCATTCAGAAGTGTATTTACTCACTGCAATAAGTGAAAAATAAACAGATTACTAAAGTAGTAATTTTCTAGAAAAAAGACACTTCTAAACACTTTCCAGTTCCTTTTCAGCTCAGGTGAAGTTGTGGATCAAACCTGTACCCAGTCTGAAAAAAATAGGTTTAACTTGTGAACCATAAGCTTTGTTCATAGAATGAGTTAAATAAGCTTTTGCTGTACTAATGATGGATTTGAAGTATAAATGCTGGGGTTTTAACCATCTCATTTGTTATTTGGTTTAATGTTGCTAGTATTCTGGTTAAGAAACCAGAGCTGCATCATTATAGACTTCAACTGAGAAGGGTTAAAGTGACATGAAATGCCCCTAAGAGCAGTGACAGGTTAGCTGAAATCAGCCATTGTGTTTCTGCTTTAATGGGTTTCAGCCCAGGCTGGGAATGTATGCAAACATGTTTGCTTTTAGAAAAGTGAAGAATTGTATGTGTTCACACAGTGACAAGGACTGACTTAATCTAGAGTCATTACATTTGCTTCCTGTATACTTGGCTAGAAGTGAGAATTGCTGAACAGAATTCTATTTGGCTGCCATTGCCTCCAGTATTACTATTTTTAGAAGTTCCCCCCTGTGGTTTTCCTCACTGCGAGTTACTTTGCAGCAAAAGCCATCCTGTCCAGTGCCTGAGGCAATTTAAGATGGATGAAAATGTTAGGAGAGAGAGATCAGTGTGCTGTGTTTGGCCTCACCCTCTGCCCTTCACCCCTCTTCCCCAGATACTGTCTATTAATCTTGTATGGCTTGTGTTCATTAGATGTTGCTTTGAACACCGTTTGGTAAATTAGCACTGGGAATTACTGTTTAGTATCATATTTATGGCTCAGTTGGAGTGCTGTTTTCCATCATACAAAGGTGCCCCTTTTGGAGGCAAGAAGGAAATGGACTGTTTGTTTCATTGTCAGTAGAAGCAGTTTTGATGGATTAGTTCAGTACCAGCTTATGCATTAGTGCAGCTTCAGTTAAAGTATGAACAGCAAAGGCTTTAGCACACACTTTCACTGTTGTAGGTCTGTAGCTAACAGGTATTATTCAGTTTTCCTACCACTAAGAAAACAGATGTTAAATCCCACTCTCCCTACTGAGTTGTGGAAGCAGCAGTATTTATTACACATACCAAGTAACCTGCTCAAGGCTGAGGGATGTTCTTTTCAGGACCAAGTATTTCCCATTTCACTGTTACTCAGTACAGGGGTACACAGTCTTCCAAATGCCACAAGGTGGTATTTAGAAGGTATTTTCTGAAGAAATAACCAGAGATAGAGTTACAGTGAAGTAGGGTAGAGAACAGCAGTACAGTGCATTATTTATCAGCTATTGAAGCATCACCTTCCAACTCCCCTGTAGCAGAGATCTCAGTTTTCAGCTTTTATATTGTATTTTTAGATAAAAGCTCCAGCTAGCATTTTAAACTTTTTTTGATACTCATCAGGACAGCCAACTTCTAGTCATTTTGACAATGGACATTTAACTTGCATCTAATAGCCATTATAGTCTCCTTACTAAGTCAAGCCAAGCCTCTTTTATGTATGGTACTCAGATGGTACTCAGCTTGGGTGAGAACAGAGATACACCATATACTGTGAGAGGCTAACTAAAAATAGTTTCCAGGCTTCAGGAACTGGAAGAGTAATGAGCTTCTCTTACTTGAAGTAGTAGCTTACTGACTCTGGGTATTACTTATTCAGCTTTTGAAAGTGATTATTAAATGTAATCATTCCATCATCTTGGCCATCTGCAGCAACAGGTTGGGATTGTCTTTAAGTAGACAATACCATTTTTGTATATTCAATGTGTAGAAATAACTTACTGGTGAGCTTTACTGCACCATTTTCACTACTTTCACTCTCTCAGACATCTAGCCTTCTAGAGGGAACCTCCTCTGTATTTTTACAGAGAAAGATTTCATCAGGCTCCCAGGACCCAACCAAATGCATCCATACATGACACCACATCTGCAATGGCACTGCAGCAGATCTCTTACCACACAGTACAGATCTACATTGCATGCAGGAGTTTATTCCAGTTCTGCAAGTGGCCACGCAGCCTCACATCTGCACAGAGAAGGAAGACTGACATCTCTACTGTTTTCCCTTGAGTTTAGACAAGCTTCCCCTGTTAGCATGTGCAGTGTAAGAAATGCACAGGCATGTTAACCCAGATATTATCTGCTATCAGTTCTTTTGCAATTGTTTTAATGAGTTTAGGATTGACAGGCATAAGATGGTAGAGCAATTTTTTCATCATCCGAGTGCTGAACTGAAGATACTTCAGACTTTGAAGTAGTGAGTGACTAGTGCTTAATGTGCTCAGCTTTTTCTGGGTGATTATACTAGCAGTAAGGCTATTATTACTAGACTTACAGTCTTTATTCTTACTCAGTTTAGCTCCACTTAGTTTAATAAAAATTAATAACACTTGTAATGCAGGCAACAGGTATTTTCAGTTCTCTTTATACTTGTTTTCAAGCAGGTTTTATTTAGAGTGCATTTATCATTGCAGTACGGTAGTGATTAGGGATTTCTGCTTGTTGTAGTCACCAGGGGACCAGAATGATAATTTTTCTTTCTTTCACTTCGGACTTCTCCTAATGAAATGATGAATTCAGGTTATAACTAAAGATTAAAGTCATATAATCATGGGTACTGATTTCTGTGCTTTTCTTTAAAGCTTGCAATTGAGAAATGGGAAGCTAATTTAACTGTTACCAACTCAGAAGGGAAATTTGGACAAGTAAGAACTTAAACAGCATTCTTAGAAGGGAGATAGTGTAAACATTTACTGTGAGCTTTTCTTTGCCTGTAAAGCAATGGAATTTATAATAGCTTCTCAAGTTAAGTATAGAACAAGTGGGGCTTTTTTGCTACACTGAGGAAGACAGGCTTGTCTTCTCACTTCTGTCATGAGTTCATCTGTACTGATGAGTAGGTTGTAAGTAGTACTTTGAGTAACTGTTAAATACTTCTTAGGCAACTTTTATGTGGTGGCTGTTACCATGCATTATTACGTACATGTTGATCATGCTGTAGATTGTTTACTGGGCACATACAGCCACTAGTCTATGCAGCTGCATTACAAAGTGTTTAAGATTCTCCCATTCTTTTCACTGCCTGACTTCTCACTGAAAATCAGGACTTCAGCTGAAGCCTGAATTTGTTACATCAGCTAGGGGGGGAAATACCGTGGGTGAGGCATACACTGCTCTTCCAAGACCTGTCATGCTCACTGTTTGCAACCAGCATGTCCTAGAATGCTCAGGGGAACTTTATCGCCTCTTGTTTGTATTACACATGCTTTGTACCACAGTTCACCTAGAGCAGCTGCTAGAGTTCTGAGCCTTACTCTAATATAAATCCAAATCAGCAGCACTTTTGCAATAGAATTTTTATTATTTGGCAAGTTGTGCATGTAAGCCTGTCTAGAGATTGGAAGATTCAAGAGAAGCATCTTTAGTTAGTGCAAGACTTTAGAAAGACCAATATTTTCGTGTCAAGTCTACATAAAAGGAAAAAGATAGGGTGTTGAGTTAACAAGGCTAAGACAGAATATACACCCTGAAATCACTATGAATGCAAAAAAATCCTTTCCTGAAGTCGTGGCTGCTGCAAAAAAAGTATAGATTTATTCTAACTAAAGGTCACTGTACTACTTGAGAAAGTTAGTACTTTATACTTTGCCAGAACCTAACAACTTATATTTCTCCTGTCTTTTTCAGATGGAACAAATAAAGAGGGCAAATAAACTGTTCACTAATGACTGTATATTTCTGAGGAAAACCCTGAATATTCCTATTATATCAGAGAAACCATTACTGTTCAATGGACTTAATTCACTGGAGTCTCCTGAGAATGAAACTGTTGACAGCTCCCCTTCTTGTGATGAAGGACTAGTGACAGTTCAGGAAGAAAGTAGTTCTTCTCCCAGTCCTCAAGAGCCTGACAATCAGCCTGCTGCACCAGAAGAACTATCTGCCAAAGATTTCCTACAGAGATTGGACTTGCAGATTAAGTTATCCAAACAAGCAGCCAGAAAACTAAAAGATGACAGTGTCAGGTAAATGATGCTTTTAGTATTAAGAACCTTAATCTCATCCTGGAGGCTTTTTAGTCTAAGCTGAACCCTCTTTGTGAGGTATCTCAGACAGCATCTGGAGTTCTAATTTGTCAACAGCAAGTCTATGCTATTATCATGCATCAGATATATTCAAAGCACACCATTAGCAGATGCCTTGATAACAACAGTTATAAAGGCTGCCTAACAATACATTGTTTACAGAATAGCAGTAATATTTAGTGAAAGCTAGAAGGCCAGTATTCTTCAAGATATCTTGCTATGTAAGTGGGCAACTATTTAAGCAAACCCATAGTTTTCAGTGGAGTACTAAGCCAAGGCCTCTGTGGAAGCTGACAGCATACAGGAAGGCATGCTTGCATTTTTCTTCTCTCCCAAAGTGCCTCATAATTGTGTAAATATTCTCCATGTTGCAGTTTCAGTTAAGCTACCCTGTCTCCTTTCCCTGTGCAGTCCCTCCCTTTGTGAATCCACCTATGTAGACTTTTATCTTTTCTTCAGTATTTCTTTACTGTCAGGAGCTCCCACAAACTGTACTCATAGGAAAAGTAGTCGATCCCTTTTGACCTCTGCCACAGTGATTATCTCCTCACATATGTAGGCATCCCATGGAGAGTACAGAAGGACTTAGAGCAAGAATGGACTTGTAGTGTTTGCTTTCCCACTTCCTTGGGAAAAGCTTCCTCAGCTTGTTCACAAGCAGTCTCTTGGGCTGATTGTCTGGCCTGTTCATTCTCTGCAGAAGTTGCCTCAGTGGGTGATGTCAAGGTGGCCTTTCTCATGACAATAAAAGGTATGGCTGTAGGGGACTGGTAACACTTCTCTTACCAGAGAGCTGGAGAGAGGTTATGCCTGCAGGTATGTACTTTGCTTTTGCAAATTTGACTAATGCAAAACTTCTTCCATTATCCTGGTTCTGATTATGAGTGCAAGCAACATACTTTTCCTGTTAAGAAGAAAGTAACCTTTCAGGACCAAATGTATTGAGCAGAGAGTCCTATCATTTCTTTAAAGAAGTTAAGGGATTATTTTGGCAACTTAAAAACTTCATTCCATTGACAAAAATTTGAAAGGGAGCAGTATATTGCATTTAGCAATTGGACAAGCCTCATTTGGAGAAATATCCCATAAAACAGCTTGAGGTAATTCATTAGCTATTGCACTGACACACAACTCTGTTGCCAGCAGAACACTGGTTTAGAGTTACAGTCTCAGGGAAGGCTGGAATGCCTTCAGGTCTTGTTAGCACACTTGCCAATTATTTTCTTTTGATTACATGAAAGAGGAAAAGTAGCTGTTGTAACTCAGATCCTTCTCTATTCAGAGTCATTCACTTGCATTGTTATATTTGAAACAATGTAGAGCATCTATCAAAATGTGCTGCTGCTGACTTTCAGATCATTAGACACATGTATCTAACACAGATTAGAGTAGGTGTTGACCCAGGAGTTAAGCTAGGTGACAGGAAACCACAGCCAGAGGAAGGCAATTACTTTAACATCCCTTCAACAAAATAACATCCTAATTTACAGAAGGAAATTCACTTAGACCTTTCTGCGCTATGAGTGGAGCCAGTACCTTATTGAGAGTGACACCACACAAATAGTACACTGCTCCTACTAATAGCTATTTCCTATATTGCATAAGTTACAGCTTGGGAAATGAGGGCCTGGTACCAAATTTCCTCTCAAGGAACAATGGGTACAGGAGGTTGCATTACTTTCCCACCTCCTGTTCAGATTTAGCAGGTAATTTGATTAATTATGCATAGAGCACAAATTTTTATTGGCCATGATGCTATGGGAAGCATGAAGGACAGAGCTGCAGGCTATCTGCTAAGCAGGATGTTACTGAAAGCTTCTGAAGAGAAAAGCTTCACACGTGTCTGAAAGTTTTTATAATGTCACCTTCCACCCCACCACCTCCGCCTTTCAGTCATGGCTCACAAAAGGCATCTTCTCCAACTGTGTTCAGCCCTTCACAGTCTGACAGAAAGTGCTAAAGGACCAAAGTGAACATTTACAGAGAGTTTACAGAATGTTTACTCCTTGCAGAGAGCAGGAGTAGAGAGAGACCATTGCCAAAAGCCCTGAAGATACTTTTCAGCTATCAGTGGTATCTCTGGAAGGCAGAAACATTCCTTACTCTGCTCCAGCAGCTCCCCAGAAGTTCTCCCTCCTGTCTGTGTGTTTCTTGTCCCTTGCTTGGAGCAAGAGGCCTTGAAAACTGGAAAGCCATCATGATAGTAACCCAGCCTCATGAATATGCAAATTTTAAATTTTAGAGTGAAAACTGTTTATGAAATTAAGGGCATTGGTTCCAGCTACTCTGGCCTTCTGTACTCAAATTGCCTTGTCAAGGCCCATTTAGAATGCAGCGTGCACCACCACTGCCGTTTACTTAAGTGCCTGTTTCAGAAAGGAAGACCTGAGTTACATCTACTACCACCAAAAGGGACATGGGAACTCAGCAAACTGCAAGCAGAAGCAGACTCTCAGTTCCAGAACTAGAAGAGTCATAGCTTCTCACCATACCCATGAGCCTGATTTGACAGATGGAGAGAATCATGACATCTCTTAAATTACTTTTTACTTCAGTCTCCCTTTAAAGTTGCCAAGAATGCATGCACATACATGCACTGATCCTGCCCAAACTGTACAGGCAGTTTCGTAGTCAGAAGCTGCTTTGTGCTACAAAGACAGCTTAAGGAGAATTACATTGTTTAATCATAACTCTTGAAGTCACACCTTTAAACGCTCTCAAAGGAATAAAGTATTTTAATCTCTAAAGTCAGTTTCTTCCCGGCTAAAGCCTCTTGCTGTAAGGTAGAAAAATTGAGGAGCACATAGGTGCAAATTTAGACTAGATGTTAAACTTTGGTAGCTGTGCAAGTAGGCAAACATGAAAAGCTATAGCACATGATCCCCTCAGTTTGTGCCAGCTGCCTTTCACTATTGAAGTTTATGTAAGCATATGGCTAGATCTGCATGTAATGCTGCTTTTACTAGAGAGTTTCACTGAGCAAGAAATCATTAGTTAATGAATTCCCCAGTCAGTCATGTTTACCAAGATGCAGCTCTAGGTTTTGGTGCTTAAGGCAATAAGACTTGGTTTTGTTTTGAGCAATATTTTTATAATAGCACTAAAGAAATGCAAAAGTATTAATATAGTTTGTAGCATATGTCACTAACTCATATTTCTGTATATAGGGAAGAATACCCATTATTAGTTTTATCCACACATGGAAGAAAAGCAGCTTGTAACAGGGCAAGAAAATACAGTGGTGCTTCATCTTGCCTAGAATGCTATTATGCATATTTCAGGGTGCCACTGCTGGAACCAAGATAAAGTTTAGTGATGCTTTTTGTGTCAGATAGTTGAACACCAGAGGTTTAATGCAAGGTCTTTATAGAGTCCTTACTATTTTAGGGTGGTCCTGTGGTAGGCTAGAGCACTAGGGCCATGCACTGCACTTCTGGGACAGGTCACATCTTTCTGCACTTGCCTTTCAGCAACTTGTTTTGCAAACTTTGTAATTGAATAAAGCAACTCTAATCATTACTATTTATATGAGCCAATATAATTAACTAGTGTACAGCACTGGAACGGAACCATGGGATCATTTAGGTTGGAAAAGACCTTTAAGATCATCGAGTCCAGCTGTAAACCTAACCCTGACAAGTCCACCACTAAACCATATAGTCATCTGCTCAGTTGCCTTGACCTGAACCTAGGAAAGAGTAGTGTGTTGAAGCGCTTGAAACTGGGAACTAATTGAGTTAATTTGCCCAGTACTTGTTTACCATCATTGGCTGTCAGCTAAGAAAACAGGTACCTGCCTCTGGTGAATCCAGTTTTCAGACTTCCAAAAGCTGTTAACTCACAAACTCCCTGCCTTGTTTAATTGCAGATTCTAGAAACATCCAGGTATTGGGTTGGATTTTACTTGTTCACACTCAGGTGTGCTTAGTCTTACAGAAGTGGTTATTAGCATTTTTTATTGTGGCCTGATGCATATAATAGCTTGCAGAAGATGTCTTTCAGCTCCTGTAACCTGCTGGGCAAAGTGGCAACAGTAAACAGGAAGAGACAGCACTACAAAGCATTGTAATGCTGTGCTGTTCTTTTCCCTTTGCCTGAAGGAGAATGTTGCAGTGAGTTACCACTTTGCTATTTTAAGCATATTAAAAGTGAAGAAAATTGTTTGGTCATTAAACATACCCACACTGCCATGTCGTTGCTTGTGGGCCACAGGCCAGAGCTGCTGCTGTGTGATTTTTTCATACAAAGCTTGGCTTGCTCCTGAGCTGTCAGAACAGACTTGAACTTTATATGTGAAGTTCTAAAGATCTACACTAGTTATTATATTTCTTGGCCATTACCTTGGTTTGGAGTAATGTGTTGTAGACCTCGTGCTGCAGCCTGGGTCAGAAGCTGTCCTTGCCAACCCTTACTGCCAACTGCAGCGTGCCTGAGCCCTGGGCAGAAGTTTATTTTGCACATTACAGCCAGTCACTGCTTTGCTTAGGTTCAAACTTAATGACCTACTACATGGTTCTTATGTCCCTGTCACATACAGAAACTCCTTGAAGCTGGCTGTGACTCAGGAGCCAGTCTTTTGCCTTCTACTGACAATTACCAAGTAAAAGCTGATTTTTTTTCCCCCACTCAAGGAACATCCTTGCAGCAGCAAGACACAGATCCAGGTACAACTATGATGGACCGCTCCCGTCCTTGCCTCATTTGGTCCATCTGCACTCCCTGCCGTTCAAAAGGCTGAAACAATCCTTGCCTCATTTGGTCCATCTGCACTCCCTGCCGTTCAAAAAAAAAAAAAAAAAAAAAAAGCAACAGTACTGGAACTCCAACTTGTCCTCTACTTGTTTATCCTTTACAGTATTTCTTATTGATTTGGCACTGTAGTGTCAAGAATAGTTCATTAAACTCCAAGTACATTCTGATGTTGTTGAACTTACACAGCTTTACTTGTTTTCAGCGTTCTGTTCTTGAAACAACATACTGAGAACTCCAGAGATGTATGATGAACAGTAGCATGCTCCAAGTAGTGTTTCTGTTAGGCAGTGCCAGTCTTACCTATTTTGATCCATTAGGAAAACTGGTTATCCATATTTGCATTACAGTTTTACTGTTGAGTCATGGTGTGCTCCTGATCTGATGATTATGATCATTTTCTTTTTAGAGAGGAGGAGAATGAGGAAGGTCCCTATGCAACTTCTTCATATCACCAGTAGAAGACGATGTGGTGGCCTGGAAACTTTCCATGAAATCAGTTCTTAAAGAACTAAATGGTCAATAATTCAAAACCCAAGTCTTTTGGACTCATCATCTTGATGTACTTAAAACAAATTATGAATGGGTAATTGCACTGAAATTATGACCTCTTCTGCCTTCCATAGGTTAATGTCCTTATGCTATATCAACAAAGGGTTTAAGCCTTCCAAAACTAGAAATGGCCTTTATACCCCTTCTGTGCAAAGTGTAGCATGGTAGCAACAATATATCCTTGAGGTCACCTTTATGCAGGATGTTGATCTTTAGTAAAGATTTTGTAAATACTTGTTAAAGTGAAGTTTGTTTTAAGTATTTAAAAATATTACATAAGTTTGCTTGTAAATGACAAACTGAAAATAATAGAAATTTACTTACTCTGCAAGCACAGGCAAGTTTGCTGTGGAAGTTTTGTCTACTTCAGGGCTGCAGAACTTGCCTCTGAACTCTGTGTGTCTGTGTGTGGTTATGATGTATTCCTAGAAAGGAATTTGACTTGTTTTGATTAAAGCCTTTATGGTTATACAACTGTTTGCAAGTTAGATTTCTGCTAATAGAAGAAGAGTTTCAGCGAGAGATTTTTCTTTGTGAGATATGACATTGGAATATCAGATGTGTGTTCTTGTGTGCAGTTATATTTTGTGTGGTTTTAATTTAATAAATACATAAATACCAGTGTGTCTGTTCATAATGAAATCAGCTTGGTTCTAGTCTGGATTTTGCGACAAATGATTTGTCTAGTTACATGAGCTATTAGATGCTAATTTCAGGGCAAATAATGTCCTTTACCATTTAGCTTACCCTCCTAATTGAGACCTCAAAGAGCTATTTGATCTAGTTGTGCAGTCAAGAAAACTGTATTAAGATTAGCAGGAGCCACCCTGGTAAGCCTTTGCTGCTCTGAGAGGAGATGCCAGTATTCAGCTCTGCAGGTGGACCCCACCTGAAGCTCAGGAAAGCAGAGTGCAGACTGCATTTGCTCTTTGCCCTGAAGTTAATGTATTAGCAACTTCTTGTTGAGCATCCTGCAATTTTTCCTCAAGTATTCAATAAGCTTCACAAAGCCCTTGTCAGTAAAGAATTGCTAGATCCCTGCTGTGGCAGATGCTGTTTCCTATGTATCAGCTCATTTATATAGTTGATTGCTCCCTCAAAGCAAAAACTTTCTGCAATATGTTAAGATGGAAGCAATATAGAAAGCTACATTAATTTGCTAAAACTAGAAATAAAAATTCAAAGCCAGACAGGAATTGGTATTTTCCCAGAGCCTGCGGGACCTCAGACCCAGCAGACTCATTCAACTTGGCTCTAGCTCTGGTCTTAAAGAGGAGGTCTGCAGCAGCACACAAATTAACAGGAACAGGGAAAGCTTAGAGTGAATAAAAGGAAGCATTGATTTTTCTTGAAGAGACTGGTGAATTAATCTTCGGTCTTGTATCTTTCTTAAAGTGGGATTTATATCTATTCCTTAACAGGATAGTAACTTCTGTTGTCAGTTAATTTCAGTAGGATATTACCAGAGCCAGAATAAACTACTTTTCCAAAGGCAACCTTAACTTCGAGCCCATTTACATTTTATAGTCCTACAGAAAAAACTCAATCCTTCTCTACCAAAGACCTGCTATTGTAATGCCAGCACCTATCCAGCACACGCAGGACCAGAGTGCTTTGCTGAGCAGGTCAGAGGCACAGCTTCCTTGCACAGCAAGCACAGGTCCTGACAGAGCCACATTTCACTCCATCCTTGCCAAGAGTGCTGCTGTGCTCATGGGCTGGAAGACCCTCAGGGCAAGCAATGGAAGATTGGTGACACCATTTACATCTACTTTTTCTGACCAAGAAAGCCATACAGAATCATAGGATGGTTTGGGTTGGAAGGGACCCTTAAAGGTCATCTAGTCCAATCCCCCTGCAGTGAGCAGGGACATCTTCAGCCAGATCAGGTTGCTCAGAGCCCCATCCAACCTGATCTTGAATGCTTCCAGGGATGGGGCTTCTACCACCTTTCTGGGCAACCTGTGCCAGTATTTCACCACCCTCATTGTAAAAAAATTTCTTCCTTATATCTAGTCTAAATCTCCCCTCTTTTAGTTTAAAGCATCACCCCTTGTCCTGTCACTACAGGCCCTGCTAAAATGTTTGTCCCCATCTTTCTTACAGGCCCCCTTCAAGTATTGAAAGGCCACAATAAGGTCTCTGGAGCCTTCTCCAGGCTGAACAGCCCCAACTCTCAGCCTGTCCTCACAGGAGAGATGCTCCAGCCCTCTAATCAGTTTTGTGTCCCTAAACACAAGGGAAGAAGCATCTGTGCCAGCCTGGAGATACGGTTGGGCAGAGACCCATCACTGCACAGCCTTCCCCTCCGACACAGGCAGGGTTCAGCCCAGCCCCACAGCTCAGGCCAACAGCACCCTGACTGACCCACAGCACCTCTGGAGACCCCACCGCACCAGCACTCAACATGGCATCCATTGCAAAGCCATTAGCATAACCCAGCACCTACCCCATCTGCGCCACACGAGCATCTCCCCACAGGGAGGGTTTCTGCACCGCCATTAACCACAACAGAGGCTGATAATGGCCAAAAACTGTATAACAACATT